AGCCCGTTTCCACCAAAAAAAAAAAAAAAAAAAATTATATAATATATATATATATATAAATAAATATAAAAGGTAATTTGATCTTTTCTCGAAATTGCAACAAAAAGGTCCAATTCTGAGATTACAATTGTGAGATATAAACTCAGAATTGAAAGATATAATTAAGATATTGGAAGCTTGTATTGCAATTCTGAGTTTATATCTCACAATTCTGAAGAAAATCTGAATTATTTAAATTTAGAATAATTACACTTTTTTTTGTTGTTGCAGTTCCAAGTTTACATTTCGCAATTCCGAGTTTACAGTGCACAATTCTGGTTTATATCTCACAATTCTGAATTGTGAAATATAAACTCAGAATTGCAAGAAGAAGAAAAAAAAAAGAATATTGAGATAAAAAGTTGCAATTGCCTTTTTTATTTTTTTACCCCATGGCGGAAACAAGCTTCCATGTGTAAAATGTGTGGCCATTTGAATTCTGCACAATTTCTATGTGGGCCTGGTAATGATCTATTTAAAAAAAAAAAAGAAAAAGAAAAAAAATAACTTTTCAGACATGTCCAGTAATCTTTCTCTGCAATTTTTATTGTAATCTTACTGGAAGTCATGAGCAAACTGTGTCACCGCCTGATTACGTCAGTGATGCAGTGCAGTTTTGTGCTGTCACATGTACTCTGAAGACTAAAGGACAGATTTAAATGATAACTGCTGTCAGACATAAAAGACTCGGTGAGCGCTTTTGCTTTAAAACATGACTTGGACATCTTTCAATGTCTTGTGGGCAGAAAGAAACCCTGCATGTCTGCTGCATGTAGGTGTGCCTGCCATGACAGACAGTAATTTGCACATTGTACAGCCTCTCATAAATCCTACTACCAGTTTTAAGTTTCTTTTAACGGAGAGTCTTTTTAATGTGCTGCTGTCAGACATAAAAGACTCGGTAAGGGCGTTTGCTTCAAAACATGACTTGGAGATCTTTCAGTGTTTTGTGGGCAGAAAGAAACCCAGCATGTCTGCATCATTTAGGTGTGCCTGCCATGACAAACAGTAATTTGCACATTGTACAGCCTCTCATAAATCCTACTACCAGTTTTAAGTTTCTTTTAACGGAGAGTCATGTTTAAATGGTGGTCTTTTTAATGTGCGTAGTGTTATTAACAAATGAACTTCACATTTAGTCAGTGGTCTGTCTTGTACCTTCTCTCAAATTGCTCAATGTTTTTATTTCTAAGAACCTATTGAATTGCACAATTTTGAGTTGCATTTTTTTTTTTCTAGTTCGAAAATTGTGGCTGCCTGTTGTATTCAAAGCGATTTCATCATGGACTACAGTGGACTTTCTAACACTCCTGAAGTACCACAGGTAGCTGCGGTTGGCAAACTAACTGACAGGCGTTCAGTAAACCAAACGGATTCAGCAGTGTAATGCATTAATACTGAGGGACTGATCAATTTTTAATGTCCAGGTACTAGTATATTTCCAATAAAGGGGGTGAATTGCACATGGAACGTTTGAGGTGGTTTCGATTCCAATTCTATACGTTTGTCTGATACATGTAGGCTATTTGGAATATAAATATCCTGGACGAGAGCAATTCCATCAGATGAGTTCCAGTTCTCACAGTATCAAGTCTGGTTGCCAAATATGGTAGTTTTTCCAACATTTTTGCCTTATCCTGTTGTAGATTCCTCCCCTTCCACTGCGAGTCTGAGGTTTCAGTTGACTCGCTTGTCCAATCCAGAGCGTGTCTTTCAAATGCAGTGTTCCTCTTCTTCAATACTGAATCCCAAAGTCACAAAAGAATCCATAACAAAACTGATTCCAACATCATCTTCATCAAGCCACTTGAGACCAAGATGAGCAGTTTGGTGGAAACTCTTTTGGAGGGGGTTATAGCGATGCAATAGAACAACCAGTTTTGGTTACCCAAAGAACCTCTCAGTGAACATGTCTTGATCTATGTATTATTAGTGTAAAGAACATTTTAATAATCTAAAGAACCCTTTTCCACTATAAATAATCTTTTATGGAAAGGTTCCATGGAGGTTAAAGGTTCTTCATGGAACCATCGATGCCAATAAAGACCCTTTATTTTTAAGAGTGCAGAATATATGCAACCTTTTGTGCAATGATGAGGTTCCATGAATTTTAAAGGTTCTTCATTCGGTTCTTCTTTATTTTTAAACGTGTAGACAAGAAATAATATTTGCTTTTTTTGAGGGAAAATTAAGTATTAAGATGTAGGCCTACATGAAGTTCCAAACATGCACCATTAGCTTTTCCCAATTCATGTGGTATTTTTCTGTATGCCAGTAATTCTAAATCTAAATCTGTACATCTAGTGCTTGGGACTCAAAAATGTATTATAAACAAGTTTTACATATAATAAAATCACCATTTGTATTTCAGGTACATGCAATAAATCATCTGTACTCCTTAATGAAAATGACCCGGTCACTTGCCTCCTCTTTAACAGACCTCATTCGATTTGGATAGTAATAGTTGTGTATATGCCGATTTATTGGTTTAGTGAACCCATAATTACTATTAAAATTAAATAACATTTAATTAACTTAAATACAATTGGAACCAATTTTAGAATGGAACCAAAATTAGAAATGTAATAAGTTTTAAGTTAAAGCACTAAAATTCTTAAATGGAAATTAATAAAAACTAAAACTGAACTAAAAATAAAATGAAAACTGAAATAAAAAATAATTTAAAAAAATACTAATAAAAATCACAAAAAGTATATGATAAAATTATTTAAAGATTTAACTAAAATTTAAATAAAAACTGAATATATATATATAACAAAAAGTTACAAATATTAACAAGAACTGTAATAGTACAAACTAAAATAAGACTGCTTCCTTGACTACCTCTGTTTTATTCAGTTTATTCTAATTTTGGACAGAACGGACAATAACCTCTAGATTTACATCTGAATTTACATTTAGGCCAAAACAGACTATTGCAAGTTTGTGATGCTGTGATTGCAATTGCATTGCAATGCTGCACAATTTCCGTGCATTGTTTCATTCTGTTCTGATTCCATGCATTATTCCATTCTGGAATTAATCAGTCAAGACAGACATTGTAAAACTGAGAATGTTCCAGATAAACTGAGACATCTGGTCACCCTAAATATCTACACCATAATAAACTTACAAAAACATTTATGCTCTTGTTGAACAATTCTGTGTTATGCACACAAAAAAAAGCTCTCTTTGAAGCCCTCTTTTCCCAACATCAGCCCAGCACCAATCCAATCAATTCCTGATGGATAAAATCTATGTTCTCTCATTAAAGTCCTGTTTCAATCAGAAATGCATCCGAATAAGGAAGTAAAATGTGTTGCGGATGTCAAGGATAGTTCACAGGACTGAAATAACCTTTCATAAGATGTCATATGTCATGTAATACTATGTGATGAATTGAAATCTAAGCATACATGTATTTGTCATTTGCACATTTCCCGAAATAGGTCCTGATCTGCTTGGAAACAGCCATCCTCTGAAACAAAACCGCTGTTGCTGTGATGCATAAAGCCCTAGCAACAGTCAGACAGTGTGAATAATTCACATCACGCCTGTAAAAACACACTTTTTCTCCTATGGAAATGAACTAGAAACATCTGAAGTAATTTGGGCTTTTCTTTCCTAGACCCTTGAGATGTGCTCCTAACGATCGATTTTATGTTTTTTTCCCACCCTCCATATTCCTTAATCCAGCCTTAAGGCAAACATTATTACGTTTTATGGAAAACATTAAGAAGTTGAGGACTTTTTTCCCCTCACTGAAGGCCTTAAAGGTATAGCTCACCCAAAAATGAAAAACCTGTCATCATTTACTCACCCTCATGTCCTTCCAAACCTGTAAGACTTTCATTCATCTTCGGAACACAAATGAAGATATTTTTAATATTATGTGAGAGATTTCTGTCCCT